TGAAGAGGGAGAACGAGAAGCTCGACGCCACCATCAAGTACGTCCTGGAAGAGGAAGAGAAGTATCACGCGATCGAGGAGAAGAAAATTCTACCAAACCGTTTGATCATCACCAATCTCGCTGCTAGCGTAGACGAGGAAGCCATCCGCATACTCTTTATCGAGTACAGATGGGACATGTAAGTCATACACTATACACGTCAGTGAATGCATGCGCTAACTAGAGTTCGCTAGTCGCAATATCACCATCCTTCCCGAACGCGAGCCGGTCAAGAGGACTAGAACGGCATATATCGACATGGACAGCAGGAAGGAGGCGATTCGTGCGTCTTATGAGGTTGGAAGCATCTACGGATTGATTGTGAAGATCAAGTTGGCGGTGGAGTAGAGAGGGATGAAGGCTAACATGCTTGTATGTGGACTACGAGAAATCGGGCAATAGTGTATTGTATCTGTGAAAATACTTTTTGAGTAACTACTCAAGAAGAAATACACATCCGGTGTGTATCAAGCAGTACCTTTTCCATGGAAGCGTGTAGCCTCAGACTCCCTTGTCGCTCGCTAGTGCCTTCTCCAGCTCACGATCAGCGCTCAACTCCTTCTCAGCTCCCTCAATCACACCCCTCAGTCCTTTTGCACAGGCCTCCAACTGCGCCTTCTCCACCTCGTCAAGCTGAACTGGCATGGCTTTGATGATACCCTTTCGACCAACTACTGCCGGCATAGACAAGCAGCAGCCCAGCTCAGGCTGGTAGAAGGACAAGGGCCGAACGGATCGTGAGTCGAATAATATATACTTGCAGATACCAGCCGCGATATTTCCGATACCGTAGCTTGTGCAACCCTTCGCCGCGATGATCGCGCCAGCTGCTCCACGAGTATGAGCCGATATCTGGTCCTTGAACTCCTGAGACATCGTGTCTGGCGGAAGAGCAAGAGAAAGCGGTGTTGTGCCGATAGTAGCGCTGGACCACGCAATCTGTGTCTCAAATCAGCATACATATCTCTCCTGTCTCATCATCCTCCTCTCTCGACGCAGATCAAGTAAGGGAAACTATACTCACAAACTGACTATCCCCATGCTCCCCCAACACATAAGCATCAATACTACTCGGCGCCACCCCCGCCCTCTCACTCAGCACGCCCCTCAACCTCGCAGAATCCAAACTCGTCCCTGTCCCCAACACCTGATTCTCGGGCAAACCCGACAACCGCCTCGCAAAATACGTCAGGATATCCACTGGATTCGCCACAAGCAGCAAGATCGTGTGCGGACTAATCGGCGCCATGGCACTGAAGATGCTCTCTAGAATGTGCAGGTTACGGGATAAGAGAGATAAGCGTGATTCTCCTGGCTTCTGCTTTGCGCCGGCGGTTATGACGACGATGTCTGCTCGGCCGGCGTCGGCGTGCGTTCCGGCGCGCACGCGGACAGAGGTGCCGCCGCGGTAGGTCGCGTCGTTTAGATCGCGGACTTGGGCTTCCAGGAGCGTGGTTTTGGGGTCTACGAGGATTACCTCTGAGCAGATGGGTTGCAGGATGAGGGTGTAGGCTAGGGTGGAGCCGACGTCGCCGCAGCCGAGGATGGCGATTGTGGTTTTTAGTTTGGGGGATGCCATTGCGTTGTTATGGTATGTTGGTTCTTGTGGTTGTGTGAGTAGGTAGTTGCACTGTCGAGGTGTTTGTGTGGTGGAAGAAGTTAGGTGATGAGAGGCGCGGAATCTGAGTGAGTTGTAGGACTAATAGTGAGAGGCTGTGGAGATTCCATCGCTTGAGGATATATATATACTCTACTCATCCATGTGTCTTGGAAGTCGCATGTTGTGTTACGTTGCCAAGGCCTGGGCTGCTGAGAAGTGGTGTGATCTGGGGTGGAGCTCAGCCACTCACCACCCGCCTCATCGCGCAAACACGTGTTGATAGTATCAAACTAACAATGCTTTTACGGGTCGTTTTCGTGTCGCATCTTACTGTGCTCAAAATTGGATGCATAACCCCGACGTATATACTATCCTTTGTACTCAGAACAGCTCAGTTTCAAGGTCGGTGGTCAGGAGCTCCAGGTCCAACCTCCTTCGTAGTAGTGAAGGCAGACGTGTACATATTAAGCCCACTGTTCATGCAGCTCATCCTCCAAGGGCAGCATCGTCTTTTGCAGTTCTTTCGACACCTTGTCAGCCTCCTCCCAGACACGAAGAAGGTTCCGTCCTGCGATCTTTGCAGCATCCTCATCGCTTATGCCCTGCCTCAGCAATTCTGCGATAAGGTCAGGGAACTTAGATACGTCCTCCAGCCCCTCAGGAGTGCTCTCAATACCATCATAATCCGTGCCAATCCCAACGTGATCATACCCAATCAACTCTCCAATGTGTCTGATATGACGTACGACGTGCGCTAGGGTGTTGTTCTCCGGGACGAAATCTGGGAAGGAGTTTGGCGTCTTCGAAGCCTTGCAGGATACAAAGTCTGGATTAAAGTTGACCATGACGACAGAATTGCGCTGCTTGACGAGCTGAAGTATGTCATCGGGCACGTTTCGCGGATGCGGACAGATCGCGTGTGCGGAGCTGTGGCTGAAGATTGGTGGCGCGATACTGCCGTTCCAGTTTCCGTCACCTCGACCGACGAGTACGTCGCGCATGGTGTCTTGACTCACGTGCGCTAGATCTACTAGCATTCCTAGGCGGTTCATCTCCTTGACGAGGTCGCGACCTGCGGGACTGAGACCTTTCCAGTACGGTTTCGCAATGCGCGCGCTCCAGTCGGATCCCGTCTCGATTGCTGCATCGGCATACTTGTTGTGGCAGTTCCAGGTCAGAGTCGCGTATCTGACTCCAAGCTGGTAGTAAAGTCGCAGAGTAGAGACCGAGTTGCCGATTTGGTGCAACCCTTCGATAGCTGCTGGTGCGATGAAGCCACCGTTTTCAAAGGTTTTGATGGCTTCCGCGCTGTTCCGCGATGGAGTGAAGTATTTTGGGTATTGTTGCCCTAGGCGGTTGAATAGATCTAGCTGGCCGAGAGTTGCTTTCACGACTGCATACATTAGTATCGATTCAATGCTCTGTCGAGTCAGATTGCCTTACTATTGTGATATCTTTCATCAGCAAAGTTCGTCTCGTCGCCCAATGGACAGAGCCAGAAGGCACTCCAGAAGGCACCACCTTGACGTCCCTTTTCGAGGCGGGGAGTATCGACATGCTGCGCTAGTCCGCCATTCTCGAACTTGTCTGCGAAATCGCTGCCGGATTCATTGTAAATACGGTTGTTGTATTTGCCCCGGATGAAGATCATGAGATCGTTATGGCCATCTCTTGGGTAGTCAGCATGTGGACCTGCATTTCACGTCCGTACGGCTGACCAATGAGTGGGTTCTCTTGCAGTATCTTGACCGCTCTCTCTTCAACTGTCAATGGCTTTCCACATGCGTGCTTGTGGCCTGGAAACAACGTCCGGATCTCTGTGAGCCATATGGTCGACGCGATAAGGAAGAGGACTACGAGGAAGATAACGTCATCAAACTTGCACAGGCGCCGTCTCGAGGACCGGCGCTGGATTGGCGCAAGCTTTTCGCTGGTAGGGAGGTCGCCCGCCTTCTCCATTTTCATTTTCAAAATAGGAGATGCAGGTGAAAAGAAACATGGTGCCAGGTTGAGCTGTTATCATCCAGGTAGATCGGTCTTGGCAGGAGGGCGCGGACGGATTTTAGGAGTTTGGTCCGAAACACCACGCGACGCGAACCTCAGAAACATTACAGCCACGAACACCTCAACCTTACATCTGCAATTTTCTCAGTCGCAGCCCATAGTCCACAAGTATGGCGATAATATCAGCAAACACCATGATACGCAGTATCGCACTGTTTCACCTCACACTTGCAGTCGTCCTGCTGCGGAATCCCGCCCTGATATCGAACCAAAGCGTCATTCTCCTGCTAGGAGAGTCAATGCAGCTCGTACGTACTGCAATACTTCTGCTGCTTACTCAAGTTGTGTCTGAAGTCACTAACACACCCCAGCCAACACCCCGCGACTTCAACAAGCCCTCGGCCGCAACAGCCTTCGTAGCCATTCTCTTCGCCTTCATCGGCTTCTCCGACCTGACGGCCCTCTCCCTACACGAAGACGTTTTCGACCACTTCTGGGGTCTCCAAGCACCCATGCGTCTCCTCTTCCTCTTCGGCCTCACCTCATACTGCTATGTCTTCAAAGAAGGTGGCATGTTCGCACCAAGGGGCATGGACTTCAGAATGCACGCTGGCGCTAGTCTGAACAACAGCTTCATTTTCACATGGGGCTTCATGGAGGTTTCGGCGTGGTTCTGGGTGTTTACCACGTTGAGGGAAGAGAGGACGGAGAGGGCGAAGAAGGTTGCCGAAAAGGAGGCTCGCGAGAAGGATACGCTGTGAGACAGCTTCGAGGAGTCAGGCCACGTTTCAGAGATGCTTGAATTTGGATGGCAGGCAACTGGTTTGCTTTGCAGAGTTCAAAGCCCTGTGCGGTGGTATAGAGTAGGGGGACTGAAACTGCCATGCCACGCCTCTGGAGCCGGTAGTGACCCAAGCCGTCGGGCGAAAACAACATCTCCCTACACACAAGACGACAGCACAGCGACGGATGCTCAGCAGAAGACAACATGCCAGTTTACAAGTCGGAAACACTACTGAGCTAGTCTGCCTACTGTCAGTGGGTGCCCGCACCGAGGACAGCGTACGGACATGCGAACTTGTTGCTTCGTCGGTTGTCCTTCGATTCAATCATAGCCAATTCTGGATCATCGAATGTGTGTTCAGTCAAATATGTCGCCCAAGGAAATGCAAAGCCCATCTGAATCATCGATGCTGCCATGCCCAGCTGGTCCTGCGACGTGACTGGACCGGGAAGCCCTTCCTCCAGACCCAGATGCATGCATGACAGGGATCACAGCGTCCTGCAAGGCGAGTGCATCAGTTCAACACTACTGGAAAGCGAAGCAACCTGTGCGGAAGAACTGGATTGAGCCTATCTAATACGTGTAGCAGAGCGTCCCTCCTTCTGTATTCAACAGGTCCTTGAGCGTGGCATTCCCTGCTAACAAGCCAATGTTGATGGTAAAGTCCAATGTAACGTTCTTGCCGCTGTAATCAAAAGGCGTAATGGGCCCACCGACTTGATTGAGACGCGTCTCGAGATCTTCCTGTTGCCATTCCCAAAAGATGCGGTCAATGTTGCCATGATGCAGGTAGAAGAGTGGATCTGCCATGCGTCAGCATGTTTCCTAGTGATATGTCTATGTGGCAGATCGGTATTGTCAGAAAGAATGAGAACCAGGTACTCACCACCAGGGCTCTCCGCCGCGTTTCCCATGGTACCCAGGATGCCACCGATACCAAAGTGGCCGCTGGCATGAATGTTTGGAGGATCAAAGCTTCGCTGCTTCTCAACTGTCCTTGCAATACTCGTATAATCCGGTTGTGCTAGGACTTCGTCGACCAGTCGTTTGTCTGCCATTCGATTAACGATCCACGGAACAAAGTCTCGTTTCAAGCAGTGTGGAGTGGGCACGTTCACTGTGAAGTGGGGAGGCGCGAATGGCCCGTTCATTACACATCCTCCACCGGTGTTGCCTGTAATGTTCAAGGGATTTTGGGCAGGAGTAGCTGCGACAGGATAGCCGTTGCCACCAAAACCTGTGTCAGGGTTGAAAATTTCTGAATCAAACGGACGGGAGGATGATTCGTTATGCGGTTCGGCATCCAGAGACCAGTCCCAGTATCTGCGCATTGGTTAGATTGAAAGCCATTGATGTCATGAGGGTATATTTGGACTGGCTAGCAACTTACGGTTGGCCTCCAGTATATCCGCATTCATCCCTCAGTGCCTTTTCGTAGGTTGCCGTGAAGTAACGGTGCCATAGAAGGAAGTGACCCTGAAAGTATCAGCGCGCAAGATCGAAGCTGGGCCAGAGGGGTTTGACGTACAACCCAATGAATCTGAGGCTTCTGGAGCATGTGAACAGCTTGATGATCATCGAATCGGTTTACGGCTCCTTCAATGCCGGATTTGGCCTTTGTATGTGACAAACACAGAACGGCATCGATGTAGGATTTCTTCTGTGGTTCTGACAATTGTCTCCTATAACTGAAGCATTAGTAATGCATTCGGCATCGTACAGCTTTTGATGATCTTACCATTCCACCCTCTTGGGTGGGTTTTTGCATGAACCCAAATCAGTAGTTGCAGGTAACGCTGCAGCTGCAGACCATTGTGACAAGCTTAACCCGACAGGGAGGAGTTCGAGAAGACGCATGACGATTGAGCCGAAGATTCAATGCTGAAACGTAAATGACGGGAGGAACTGTCACACGTGCGATGCCTTCGAGAACAGAAACGTTCTGCAGGATCTGCAGTGTCTGGGTACCGAAGAGCTCTCTCGTATACGTACAGCGAAGTAGGCACCTGGATAGCTGATGAAGTTTGACGATTAACAACACCCATCTATCTTATACAAAAGCTCCGCGATCTGGCTGCCGACAGCCGATCTGGAATTGCGCAACCAGATCGCCTAAAGTCTTTTTGGACCTTTCTCCCGCGGTTGCATGGGAGACATTGTTGAGTATGGCAGGGACAACTGCCGATGATCCATACCTGATGCAGGCGAGACAGAACCTAGGAACCCATAACATCGGTGTACTCTTTACCTGGAAGACACGCAGGCGCAATATCTGGACCGTTCTGCTAACTTTGATCTTACAATGCGCAGTCTTGGCTTTACCAGGCGTAATCTCGTAGCCCGTTGCTTGGGTACATATATATTGTTGCTGACATATTTGCCTTGGCTAGCTACCTGGGTTTACATACAGCAAGACAATTCCATGCGATGCACGCCATCTACGGGTACTTGTAGCCTGCGCCAGAGTCCTGCTACTGGCCTTGCCCGTCTGGAGGACCCCGGCGTACGGGGCGAGTGGCCCGCAAAGCCCGGGAGACATCCGGAGGCTCATTCGAACCTGGCTTGCCACCTCCGTAGTCAGAGAGGTTGTGTGTGGTAGATCGTTACGGAGTGTCGGGCGTAGATGCGCTTACAGGGATGGTGAGATTGCGCAGCCGCAGCGTGTTGCCAGGGTTTCTCGGTAATGCTTCTTGAATCGTGTCAGGACGGACATCACGCAGCGTGATCTTCCGACCACGCGAAGGATGCAAGGACGCCGCTCTCTCTTCTTTCAGCGTTGCGCGCCTGAACTCCGACACACGGACATGAATCGAGTTCTTCTCACTGTTTCCCCGGTGGCTAAATCATCAGTTTTGGTGGATGGCCGCCCTGACGCAACAGAACTGGAGCATCACCGTTTCTGGTCGGCCACAAGCCATTTAGTGATGCTTGCATCGGACTTTGACATACATATGTATAGTGAAGAATTCCGTCTATGCGTCCGACGGAGCACATTCTAGCTCTCGAATATACTCAGGTACATGCCATCTGCCTTGCATTCCAACGGCCATTCCTGCCCTACTGTATGTAGGCCGTTACCCAGGTATGATCGGGCCGAATCTTAGTGCAGATCATGAATCTAGGCAGCCGATGTTCCTGATTACGACTGGAGTTCTAGTCCTGCTATCAACAATCGCCGTAGCTCTGAGGCGAGTACCTGCAGCATTGGCGACATCCTTGGGTAGTAAGACACTGTTTGCTAACACCTGCGCAGGCTTTACTGTCGCATCTTTCGCATCCGCAATGTTGGACTCGACGACTACTTTATGGTTGCTGCCCTTCTTGTCACGATTGGCATGGCAATTATGAATGGGTTTCATATCAGCTGGGGCACTGGGTATGGTTCGATGGTTGCAAGCGTATGTGCGTCGCTGACTACGACAGACAACATTTGAAGTACTTGGATGTGCCCTCTATGCGGATTCCCACACTCAAGCATTTCTATTTCTACCAATTGGTATACCCTGTGGCACTGTTCTTTGTCAAGGCTAGTATATTGGCGCTGTACCATCGTATCTTTGAGCGGTTACAGTTCCGGTACAAAGTGTGGTCTGTAGCTGCATTTGTCACGATCTATACAATCGTGGTTCTCTTCGTCAGTGTGAGCTCCTCGTTCCTCTGCTTCAACTAGAGATGGCATTAACTCCTACAGGCTTTCGAGTGTAGACCCAAGCCATCACAAGCATGGTCACCTACGTTTCCAAAGGGATGCAACAATTTGCGAGCTACCTACTTGGCACTAGGAGGCATCAATATCCTTACTGATATCACAATCTTTCTACTGCCCTTTAAACCCTTTTGGAAGCTACAGCTAGATTCGAAGCGGCGATTTGCGCTCTTTGGCGTCTTCGGGGTTGGCGGCATCGCCGTCGTTGCGTCAATAGTAAGGGTTTATGCACTATGGCTGTACAATGTCACCAGAGATATATCGTACGATTCGATATTTGTGAGTAGCTTCCAATGTGGCCCTGCTCGTCGAGATGCTGACCGTAAATCAGATTCTTCTTCTATCACAGATCGAAGTAAACGTCGCTATCATATCCGCCTCGGTTCCCGCCTTACGGCCACTTCTCCGCAACACATCTCTAGACTTTAGTCAGCCGGACGCGTATGGTAGCGGCTATCGGCGTACAGTCAGCAGTGGATCCACCATTAATGGCCGAAGTGATCGCAATCTGATTGAATCTAGCGGTCAAATTTCGCTCCTCTCGATGGAGAGGCGTAGGCCGGTGATAGAACGGAAAACCTCATGCGGAAGAGGAATGAATAAAACGAGCGAAGATTCAAATATCAAGGACGATGGTATCACGAGGACAACGGAGACAACGATCGAATTTGAGCAGATGCCTACTGACACCCTCCCACCCAGCAGGCGTTGGATGACTACAAGGCATTTGAATGGTACACGGTAGAAAACAACATGTGACACACTACACAGTATAACGACTTTGACTTGTAGGATCATGGAAACGTCACTATCAATGAATTGACCATTTGTTTAAGCTTCAGACTTGACTTGAAAACCTCTTCCTACATTACACGCGCCAGAAAGATCGCATCAAGCAAGGAGGCAAAATGACGCATCTCAAAACCACAGTCGCTGTGCGTTCGGAACTTCCGCATAACAAAGACCCATTATTTCACGCCACAGCTCCCTCGTGGTACCATGCTCAAAGAAGAAGCATCAACATGCCGGGAGCTAGTCCAAGAGCCCCGATCGCAAATAAGAACATTTCTCCAAAGCCTGAGGCACTTCCAACGCGAAGGCTGACAGCAGCGCCGGAAAATTCTGCTGGAGTGGAGGTACTAGGCGATGCACTAGTGATAGTTGATGTGGCAACTTTCGCGGATGTCGCATCTTCTGAAGATGTGGTCGCCCTTGATGACGACGAGGCAATCCTAGACGTCGATGCAGGGGCCAAAGTCGAACTCGGTAGTGGTGTTGCCTCAACCGTAGGCGTCTCTGATTGTGTCTCTAGAGCAACGCTAATAGAGGCACTGATAGATTCGGCTGCAGAGTTGGCAGCCCCCACATCCGACGCTGTCAGCGAGAAGGTGGTGTAGTACGTCGTTTCCGTGGATGTGATCTCGTAGGAAGCCTCGAAGTAATAGTAGTAGTAATAGGTATAGTAGTATGTCAACGAGTAGGTGTACCACGAGTAGTCGACAACAACAGGATCTGGGATTGAGGTTGCGGATGGTGCTGGTGTAATGGAAGCAGAGGGTGGATCACTTTGGTCAATGCGAGGGACTTCGGAGTATCCGTCAGGGCAGGTCTCGCCGGGTAGATGATAGTAGTCGCCTGTGCAGCATGTACCAGTAGGTGGGATGCATGGGAGATCGCCTGATAGTATTAGTCTCGGGTATGGCTCAATTAGAAAGGATATTCACCAGGGCATACTGGAATCCATCCAGGTGAGTTGCACTCTTGAAGCTGACGAGGAGAAACGCTAGGCACTTCCTTTAGAGGTCCCGCTTTGCCAGCGAATACGGAGTACGAGAAAGCGCTCAACAGCACTAGTGAATGAGCGAGCATGATTGCTAGTAAGAAGCCGGCTTTTTATGAGAACGAGAGATGGTGATGATAAGTGAGCTGGCTGTTGAGGTCCGTTGGTGAAACAACAGAATAGCCTTTCCAGCCTTCAGCAACCCCAGACTTTATACCACCATGTCGCCAAAAGAGCAGTAAACATAGCCTACCTGACAGCCTGCCTGGCAGCCTTCCGTGATCGCAGATGTCAGCTCTTCATCTCCACTGCTGCGGTTGTGCAATATCATGCTTGGCGACATGTCGTTGTTCCAGGAACTTCGCCAATGGGCCTTATTACGGCACGCCACGAGAATGAAGTGTACAACGCCACAACAGTCCCATTGGCTGCCCATGGACGATGCGAGAAATGCGAGGAAACACGTGAAGTGTACCTGGGGGCCGAAATCGGATTGGCCAATCAGCTATGGCCTTGGTCGCTACACAATATTGAAAATAGTGCTGTAGGTCGTATAAACCTTCAGCCGCAGTCCCTACACGGTGAAGATGTCCATTGTACAGACCGGAAAGTTTGGGTTAAGCAAGTATGCCTTGCGCCAAGGTGGTTGAGGAGTTCTTGCTGCGGCGAGGCGTGTACCTAGGTATTGTCACAAGCAGCTCCCAATGACCACCACCTGAACTTCCTTGATTTAGATGACGCCATGATCTGCACAATTGGCACAGTAGGATCGTTGGTAATTCTCCACTTTATGGTTGGTTAGGACTTACTCGTCGATGTGCGCCCACAGTGAGTCACGGGAATTCAAGGCGAGGTCGCGGTGTGCATCATGTTAATAGCGTGAGGGAGCCAGATAGACCGCTGCTCCAAGTCACAAATGCATTCTGCTCGGATGCTGAAGAGCGTGACCTCGTGATGCGAGATCTGCCGAGGAGATAGCAGAAGATGATCAGACTTGGATCTGGCACGCAATAGTCGTGGTGCTGGCATGAAGATGATCGCATACGAACTCATAGCCGATGCATTGCCTGGCGTCCGATGATCCTGTGTGTCGCATTCCTGAGGGCGCGCAAGTCGTATGGCTTCCCGTGTTAACGATCGGGGGCTGCAGCAGAGCTGTGCGTAGAGCGAAAGGAAAAAGAAGATAGACCTTAAAGAGATGACTAAGCTTTGCGATGGGACGTGGACGTGAAAGTCGATGGCTCGTGTGATGGCGTTCTCCGAGCGACCGGGGCCGGCCGCGTCTCTCCAGTCTTGCAGGGTCCAAGGTCACGACCCGACCGTTCGCCATCGCGTGTCCCCCACTTTCGCAAACACAACGCCTGCTTGCGA